ATAATGGAATTTATGGTGAGAAAAATGAGATCTCTCATGAAGAGGAAAATGGAACCTTACATGAGAACCACTGGGTCTCCCATAGTGAACAGAAGCATGGGATCCTTCTTGATGGATACTATTGATACTATGGATACTATTGGACCTTCCATGATGGATTAAAGGGGACCTTACATGATAACTACCATGCCTATGGATTGAGGTCTTTGATAGATGGCCACCTACATGGTAGCTTCCAAAAAAAAAAATATCCAGCACGAACATAACCACTGTGGCTTAATGACTGCAATTTAAAACAGAAGTGTGAAAATAAAAAAAATAAACTTACATACTCACCTAGGTGGATGCAGCATCAGTCCAATGCTGCATCCGCCACCTCTAAAACCAAGACCTGAACAATCAAAGACTGTTCTTCACTGAGTAGGGAGCCAGTGCCTGTCAGTCTTCTCAGCTCTCTGCTCTGATCCTCCAATGCTCACTGGAGCGCTGGGCTGTGCAGGGGTGGGATAAACTGGCTTAGGCTCTCAGTGGCACGCTGAGAGGCTGAGCCAGCTGGTCCTCAGGCATTTGGGTGGATCCTTACTTTAAAGTCATGAGCTCTCCAGAGTCTGTACCCACTGAGGGACATCAGCCAACAGCAGGCTTTAGCCCGCTCTTGGCTGAACACGTGTCACAGGAGTGCAGAAAGAAGTGCACTCCTGTGACCCACAGGAGAAGTATTTCTCCTTTATTAGGGCATTGATGATCTAGAGATAAACAGTTTGGCTCTGTACATATTCGTCACTTTATGTTCACCTCTAGATGGACTTATGTCTTTTTTCAGCCAGACCAACTATGTAATTATGTAACTTTGTTCTCCACTCCTTTTCCTTTATATACACTATATTGCCAAAAGTATTGAGAAACTCCTCAAAATCACTGGATTCAGGTGTTCACCTCCATGGTCACAGATGTATATATAGAATCAAGCACCTAGGCATGCAGACTGCTTCTACAAACATTTGTGAAAGCATGGGTCGCTATCAGGAGCTCAGTGAATTCAAGTGTGGTCCCGTGATAGGTTGCCACCTGTGCAATAAGTCCATCCGTGAAATTTCCTTGCTACTAAATATTCCACGGTCAACTGTTAGTGGTAATATAACAAAGTGGAAACAACAGGGAGCAACAGCAACTCAGCCAAGAAGTGGTAGGCCACGTAAAATGACAGTTGCACAGTGCGTAGAAGTTGCCAACTGTCTGCAGAGTCAATACCTAAAGACTTTCAAACTTCATTTGGTCTTTAGATTAGCACAACGACAGTGCATAGAGAGCTTCATGGTAATGGGTTTCCATGGCCAAGCAGCTGCATCCAAGCCCTACATCACCAAGTTCGATGAAAAGCGTTGGATGCCGTGGTGTAAGGTGCTGCCACTGGACTCTAAAGCAGTAGAGGCATGTTCTCTACAGTGACCAATCATGCTTCTCTGTCTGACAATCCGATGTACATGTGTGGGTTTGGCGGTTGGCGGTACTTGTCTGACTGCATTGTGCCAAGTGTAAAGTTTGGTGGAGGGGGATTATGGTGTGGGGTTGTTTTTCAGCGGTTGGGCTTGGCCCCTCAGTTCCAGTGAAGGCAACTCTTAAGGCATCAGCATACCAAGAGGTTTTGGACAATTTCATGCTCCCAACTTTGTGGGAACAGTTTGGGGATGGTCCCTTCCTATTCCAAGATGACTGCGCACCAGTCCACAAAGCAAGGTCTATAAAGACATGTTTGGGGTGGAGGAACTTGACTGGCCTGCGCAGATTCCTGACTTCAACCCCATAGAACACTTTTGGGATGAATTAAAGTGGGAGACTGTGAGCCAGGCCTTCTTGTCTGACATCAGTGCCTGACCTCACAAATGTGCTTCTGGAAGAATAGTTAAACTTCCCCATAGATGCACTCCTAAACCTTGTGGACGGCCTTCCAAGAAGAGTTGAAACTGTTATAGCTGCAAAGAGTGGGGCCAACTCAATATTGAACTCTATGGACCAAGACTGGGATACCATTAAAATTCTTGTGCATGTAAAGGCAGGCGTCCAGATACTTTTGGCAATATAGTGTATGAAAGAATGTGGATGCCTTAAATACTTTACTGCTATTATTAGTTTTCAAAAGTCTGATATCCACTGATCAACATTTTAAAAGCTTTGCATAAGGATTAAATATTTGGAAAATATCAAACAGGTGTACACGTGCCGCATGATAATTAAATTACTGTGATCAGCATATAGCTTTTTATACCCTGACAATATAACAGTAATAGGGAAATTACTATGTTAAGCATACCTCAAATAAAGCTTTTAAGAACTTAATAGTATAACCATTAGGTTAATGCAAAGACAAATCCTGCTTTACTATTAGTCTAAAACATATTTAATGTTTAGCCTTCTGGGCACTTTAGAAGAGAGCAAAGTCCCTACTTGTAGATAAGTGGCGGAGTTATGTAAATCATTAATTCCTAGCCCTCATCTGTGCAAAATATGGCTTTACTGATTCTATGGTGTGGAATTTGGGAATCCAGGGAAACAGTACAACCATTAATGTTGTAGTGAGGCAGTACATACAAGAAAGCCAAAAGACCACCGAAAGTACTTTGAGACTGACAAGCCCTACCCCATAGAGCCAGCAAAGCCACATCTTGCACAGATGAGGGCTACGAAGCCTGAAACAGCTTTATGCAAGTTGGTAATACTGATTCTGTAAAATGATGGTTATATCTGTGCTTTAAAACCAATGGTTCTGGATACACTGATGGCTAAAAAGGGTCAAAAACGAATGATCTACTTGATGCATGCCAACAAGCAGAGACTGAGCTCCTTGTCTTTGGTTTTGTGCTAAACCAAAAATCTAACAAAGAAATTGAAACACAGTTTATGCTCAGTCTTGTAGTGCAAAGAATACAATGAGACCTAGTAAGTAATATTATCTTGGGTTGCCAAGCTGAGGATTCACTTCACTAATTCTGTAGTCCTCCTGGACTGAACACATTTACAGGAAGATACCTATAAATACATGACCAGGGCCAGATTTATACTTCTGTCCCCCCAGAACAGCTACCCGTCCTATACTCCTTTCTCTCCCCTATCAAACTTACTGGAGGAACAGGGGTATTGGGTGTAGACTGGGTGTTGTGGAGCTATAATATTGAGGTAGGCTGGCCTAGAGAGCATTATAGGGAGCTGGGGGTACTTCAGGGAGCTGGGAAAAGTGCAATGGGTTGTGGGCAGTTAAGGGGGCCGGAGAATGAATTTGTAGAGACATCAAGGGCAGAGCAACCATTGGCACTCAGGAAAGCCTGTAGGCATGGGTGTATTTACCACAAGACAAAGAAGGCATTTGCCTAGGGTGGCATTTTTCAGGGGGACAGCAGCATTTTTCAGGGGGGCAGTGCCGTCCCCTGAAAGAAGGAAAGAAGGAAGGGATACACGCAGCACGGGGACCAGGTGGGATCTGAGAGAGGCTGCGGGCTGCTTGATAGTGTATGCAGACCCTTGTTCCTGGGGATGTCCAAAGCTGTGAAGATGAGTGTCTTATGTCTTGCTGAGGTGGGGGGTTGCCAGTGTATGTGGGGCGGTGGTAGTGGAAGGCTCTCTCGGGTGGGACCGGGAGGGGCTGGGGTGTTGTTGATCAATGTAAGGCTCTCTTCGTGGGGGAGGAGGGTGTTGGTGAGTGTCAGGGTCTCTCTGTGGGGAGGGGAGCCAATTTTTGTGTTGCCTAGGGCACTAAGAAAACCTAAATACACCACTGCCTGTAGGGTCTGGGACACTTACTAACCTCAGGCCCAGTGCCACCCCAGTTCAAGGTCTACGTGGACTAGTGGCAAATTCAGCTCGGAACATGAATGGGGGGCTGGTTGATTTGGATCTTTGCATTTCTAGTCATGTTTTGTCCATGGCTAAATCACTGATCAATACAGTAATGCTTTTAACTGTGTTTGGCATGAAAGGAATGCAAGAATAATGAAGAACTTTAAATATGTGCTCTCTGAGCTAACGCCATAGGTTTCTGATATTTCAGTAAAGGTAAAAGCATTGCTGACAGCTGTCCATCACTTTATTTTTAGTTGAAATCACCATTACTAATATTTTCCTTTTTAACCACACTTGATTTCCACACTACAATAGTGATTTTCAAAAATCCATACATGTTTAGGTACATGGGATGCATGTGGTCCATAGCTAGATATAAAGCTGTTCTGGGCATGCCTGAATGATAATGCTGTTTTATAACTGACCTTCAGTCATGGTGTTATTTATTAGAAACTACTGCTAGTATGGGCTATTGGAGGTAGCACATGGTCTAATTTAATGTTTCTTCAACTATATAGAGCTTTGAATTCCTCTCAGCAATACCTGCACCCCTTTTCCCAAGAGCCTGCTTGCTCAATTAAACCACAAATGTCCAGTTGGACAGTAAATTCTGAGGCCTTCCATGTGCTCCTTGCTGCGAAAGGCCACTTATTGGTTAGGGCAATTGCTGTTTGTGCTGTTGGTTAAATGACGAGGGAGGGCAATGAACACCTTTGCTGCCATTGTGCTATTTGCTGGGTGTCCAGTGTGCCCCCGTGCCTTTAAGGAGGGGTGGGTTCCCTCCAGGCATGCCTGCCCTCAATCTATCCAATGTTATACAGTATATGTACTCCTACTATGGAGGCTCTCAAAATTCATAGAGTTAAGACCAGGGGCGGACTGACAACTCATGGGGCCCCCGGGCAATAGGAGATCAAGGGGGCCCCTGTGTCCTTGCCCAAACTCAAAAAAGCCTATGAAAAAGGTACCAGGGGCATCTCATGGGGCCCCCTACTGACCCGGGCCCCCGTGCAGTGCCCGAGTTTCCAAATGGTCAGTCCGCCCCTGGTTAAGACTGTAGATGATACTGGGGTGCTGTGAAGTGGCCTCTGTAACTTACGCATCTATTTACAAATGTGCACTAACTAAACCCCTGTTATTTTTTCTTCTTTGTTGTTGTTTGAAATTCAATTGAAATTGAGTCTAACTGTACACCCCCCCCCCCCCCCAATCTTGCTGCCCTGGGCACTGTCCCACAAGTGCCTTGTTGGCACTTATATGAAAGCCTATTTTGTTTGTTATATTTTTTAATTTGGCAAAAAATAATACCACAAACACTGATGATTGCATGAACAAGATAGGATTGCTTTATTGAAAATTTGAAAAAAGTGACAAGGACATGAGAATAATAATCTAAATTCACCAGATTACTACAGTAGTTAACCAGAATATATACTGCATAGTCACAATAATCCTAACACATTCTAAATAATCAGAATCTAGGGTTTAGTATATCCCCCAAAATTAAATGTGCATATTGCTTGTTAATATCCCATTACTGTGTACAATGGTAGACAATACAAATAAGTTTATAATTTATGATTATAAAATTGATACTACAACTGTAAAATAAAACCTGCACAGGATTATGTTAATAAAACTCCCTGAAGTCACAACAGAAAACTAAAGTTCCCCTTAAATTAAGCATGTTTTTTATGTATGCATTCAAATACTATAGGCAAATCTCAAGGAAATAAATTCAGCAAAAATTCAGATTCTATCCTATAGATTGGTTCATATTGTTACTCATTTTGCTTGTGATCATTGTACTTTGCACATCTAATTCAAAATTACTGATTATGATGCAACTCACTTCTGAGTGAAGCAAACTGCCTTGCAACTTTGTGTACCAAGTGCCTGCTGACGCCTGAAAGTTTTGCGGTAACACATGCACCACGAATCCACTTTTTAGGGCATTGTGGTGCACTCCATTACCGCAGTTATTTGTTTTTCAATGGGTCCCCAAAGCAAGTAAAATACTTTTTCTCTAGCGCACTACCACGTAACCATAGCCATAGCATAGATGTATTCTGTACATGCATTGGGGTGCCATTGCAAAATAAATGGCACTGCAACACATTGCACTATGTGTTGCAGCAACATCTGCACCATTGTACTGCGATGGAGAGAATGGGCCCTAAGAGTAATGGAAGAAAAAAATGAATGGAAAGTCATATTTTATGCTCCAGCATAATGCAGTCCCTAAAAATGTTGGGTAGACTTTAATATCTTCATTCATTTTGGGTCTTTAAAAAGTGTTCAAAGGCCAGAACTCAATAGCTTTTTTAACCCGTAGCTCAACCTCTTGAAATTAACTTACTACTTAGGTAAACTTCAACAGTTTACCACCAACCTCTAAAGATGAACACGTATCTAACTAATCCTAAACTTGCATAAATTCAGTTGTGTCTACTGGGTATCTTGGTGGATCTAGTTCATGTCTCATGCCAAGTTTTGCCTAGGTGAAGCAGATCCCGAAGGCCACATAAGAAGAAGACAGAGGAAGACACCAAAAGACTTTCTAGAGACAGGATAATGCTATTATCCATAGGGTTCTCCAGAAAAGTCACAAACACATTAGCAGACATTATGATGATTATGATGTTGATGATGTTTTTGATGATGTTGATGATGAGAATGGCTAGTCACATGGTGAACTTTTTTTGTGTGATGAGATCCTGAAAGTAGAAGATATGATATTTAAGAATATTGGTGGTCTAGGTAACATTATAACGGGATGCAAATTGTCTGTTTCTTATTTCAATCTACCAAATCCAAATTATCATTATTATTGTTACATGATCAGTTATGTTGAGGAACCTGTTCATGAGTTGTAGATAGAATGATTTGAACAGGGGTATCCCGAGACCTGAAATTGATTTATTTAGTAAAAAGGTTGAGAAAGGATGCACTGGACAATCACAAAACTATTTATTTTAAAAATTTAGTTAGCCCTTTTTTTTTGCAGTTTCATGAATGCACCCACCTTTTTGGAAACAGCTAGAATCAGTTACTGTTCAAAACGAATCCAGTTTTTCACAGCTGAAAACTACTGTAGGTCATTTTTCGACCAAAGCCCATTTGCAGAAGGTAGAAAAGGAAGCAGGTTGCTGTCTAATCATTCATAATATTTCCATGTTGAATGCTGCTTGACCCCTTTACAAGGGCATATGGAATTCACAGCCGACAATATGACTGGTATGGGGCCCATTAGCAAAAAGGGCCTAGAAATATCTGGCTACACAGTGATTTATGATTTTCAGATATCATTTTGTAAATATATTTGGATAAAATAAATGTTTATAGAGTGTGATTGCTGATTAAAGTGATTGGCATTGGGTATCAGTAAATGAATGCCATTAAGCTGTTGATCAAATAGATCGGGTGTGCCTTAAAAAGGTTTTGCTATGGGGTCCAAACCCCATGGAGTTGTGTTTAAATGCCTCTAATGCCCAGGTAATAGTTTAAAAATGTTCTCATATTGTACATACTACACATATTTCTACCAGCTCATGCTTTGCCATTTATGTCAATATAGGTTTACTTACCATGGCTGCCTCCTAGAAAACTTTGACTTGAGGTGCTGAAAATTAAAACACACAGTAAAGATTAATGAAGAAATATATGGTATTCTGGCCATTCTGTATGGCCTGGTTTAAATAATATATGGATAAACAAAATGGGAACATTTGATGGATTGTTTGGTCTTAAGCTGTTCTCTAAATTATATTATTCTATTCTGATTGCTGATTGAATATTATAGCAAATAAATTCAGATATAAGCATTATTTCTTTCCTTTTTTAAGATTCAATGTGAATAGGTTAGCTATAAATTGCATATTTCATGCAATATTAGTTCAGTTACTTGTCCTGTGTGAAATACATACTGGATATCGTGACCCTCCAATAGGCGCTTGTAGGTGGCGATCTCCATCTCCAGGTGAGTCTTTTGGTCCATGAGGATCTTGTATTCCTGATTCTGGCGTTCAAGGTCTGATCGGATCTGGGTCATCTGGGACTCTACATTGTTGATCAAACATTGTATTTGGGCAAGCTGAGCCCCATATGTGGCTTCTGTCTCTGCCAAGCTGTTTTCCAGAGCAGATTTCTGGGAAAGGACAAAGAAAGATTGTATACACAATACCAAATAATTACAGTACATAGTGTAAGTCTTTGCAGAATGAACTGAAGATGCTCACAGACTTAAACCACCAACAATTTGCCTATGACGCAAACTTTATTAATCAACTGGTAATAATACATACGAAGCTGAGTTGGCTTTGCAGTTCGATCTCCAAGGTTTGGATGGTGCGTTTCAAGTCAATGGCTTCAGTTTGTACAGACTGGAGTTGTTCAGAACCAGAAGCAACGTCACGATTTAGTTCCTCAGTCTATGTGAATAGAAAGGTTGTTAGAGGCGTGTACCCCTTAATATATGGAGGCTGATTTTTATACAGTTTAACATATAAAGCCAAATAATGTTTATTCCTGATCTTCTGTGAAGAAACACATTACTAATTTTAATATAGCAAGTTGATTTGTACTTTTGATTAACTTTCAATTAGTTTTAACATCTTTTAAGTTATTCCATTGCATTGTGTCCTATGTGTCCCTAGGCAACAGCCTTAAAGCCCAGTTGTACTGTGCACCAATAAACACACACATCCCTGATCAAGAAAAATAAATTTTGCTGGATAGCCAGAGTAATTGTGATTGCGCAAGTGCAGGGTCATCTTAATGCATGGGCACCCCATGGGGCCACAGATGCATGGGGGCCCCATGATAATATTGCAGTACATCATACTTACCAGCTGTCCTGGATTTTTCGGGACAATGCTATTTATTAAGCTGTCCCAAAGGCCATGTCCAGGGCAGTGTCCCAGAATCTGGGCTATGGGGACAGCGCAACCTGTCATTGGGCTAAATCTACAATTGGAATGACCTCTTCCTCCCGTGCTGTGCCTTCCTGCCTCTCCCCTGTACTGTGCCTTTGTGTTGATTAGTCAACAATATATTTTATTGAAGGTTCTAATAAATATATGTTTAATTATATCAACTATTTATACTTTAATTTTTGAGAGTAGGTATGTAAATTGGGGAATGTTGGTAGGGGTCCCAGTGCATTACTTTGTCCAGGGGCCCATGAATATAGTTAGACAGCCCTGTGCAAGGGGTGTGACAGATCTCTGAAGATCTCTGTATGAAAGCAGTGGTCCTGATCTTCAGCGTACTGGGAAGATTGGAATGGTACAGTACAGCTGAGCATTAAAGCCGATCATGTGCTCATCAATTTTAATTGTTTATTGGGATATAACCATGAAACAATACTGCCTTATCATCAAAATGTAATCGATGGCTATCACATTATATTTCTAATAGTTTTAACAAGCTTTTCAGTCTACAAAAAAAACTTACCCTTTGACGGAAAATCGTTTCTACCTCTCTCATATTCCGCTCCATCAGATTTTCATACTGCTCTCTTATCTCAGACAAGGTTCTATTCAGATCAGCCGAAGGAGCAGCATCCACTTCCACATTGACCCTGGCACCCAACTGAGCTTGCAAAGCGTTGACTTCCTGTAAATAAAATGTTAGAAAGCAATAGTATGATGGATGCATTTCTGGAGATTTCCAAAATATGTTTTAGGACCTATGTTGACTTGGCTTTCGGGTTTATGTCAATGGGTAACTGCAGTGGGCTTTTAGATGCCTTTGAGAATAGTTTGCATCTGAGATAATTTAATTTAATTGGAAAGTTTAAAAAAAAAGATTAAAAATAGATGTCAAAGTTGCCAATTTTCCATAGATGGCCCAAGATGGAAGCATATGTCACTCTAAAGCAAAAGTGATATTGAAATTATTTCCATCTGCTCTGTAACAACACATAATGACACTATGAATTGTTTTTCTTAAAATAAATGTCTAATTTATGTTGAAATAGGGGTAGCAAGCATCCAACCTCTCCATGATTCCTCTTCATTAGCTGCAGTTCCTCCTGAAGGTTTTCTACTTGTGCCTGTAGCTGACATATTTCTCTGTTCAGTTCTTCCAGGAGTACACGAAGTCCATTCACATCAGCCTCAACACTGCATGCTAGCTGGCGTTCCATTTCATACCTGGTGATGAAAGGAAGATTAAGCAATTGAAGCTGATAATGATAATAATGATGAAGGACATCATATATAGAGAAATGCCTACTTGTTTTTGAAGTCATCTGTTGCCAGACGAGCGTTGTCTATTTGTAACACAATCCTGGCATTTTCCATAGAAGTTGAGGAAATCTGGAAAATATAGGTGTTCTTTTTTATTGCAAAATATACATTTATACAATGTATTAAACTGAACTTTGCTCTGTATCAATGCTGCAGAAAAAAGTGCTGCAGAAAAATGCAGTATGTCTGCAATTTTCCTTAACACGCATACCAACAGAATTGAGGTACAACTGTTTTTTATATTACCTGTTGTTGATCCAGTGCAGAAAAACACAGGTCACTGAATTATCCCTGCCATAAATTATGTTTGCATACCTGGGGTTTTTAAGGGTTCCTGCCCACCTTTGTATGTTCCAGCAAGGAGAGCAGAGAACAATCATTATGGCCATTGCAGGTGCGCAGACTCAAGTGAAGGTTTTTTTTTACCAATAGAGCCTCTGAGAGATATTACAAATTATCAAATGGTTTACCTCTCCAGTATTTACCAAATCAGGGGTGGACTGACAACTCATGGGGCCCTCGGGCAATAGGGGATCATGGGGTTCCTGTGTCCTCGCCCACACCCAAAAAAGCCTATGAAAAAGCCAATGAAAGGTACCAGGGGCATCTCATGGGGCCCCCTACTGACCCCGGGCCCTCAGGCAGTGCCCGAGTGCTCAAATGGTCAGTCCACCCCTGTACCAAACATTAAAATAACAGCACTATCTGGGCTAACCTTCTAATGAAAATGTCATTAAACCAATATAATTTAAAACTGCCATTACATGCTGTATTACATTCTGTTCACACTTAGTGACTATGGGATTAATTTTTCTGTATTTTACAAAAAAACCTGGTTGATTATACTGTTCACTGGTCCTCCCTCCTTGTCTATGTCCCCACTACAGCCTGAGATTATGTAGACCAACTGTTGCTACATCAAATGCTCCAGTTTCAGTTCCCTTCTAAACTATTCATTTCCTCCTTTTTGTAACCTGGGCAACCCACATGACTATAGAGTCACACAGGTAGGCAAATACTCTCCGATAAACAGCTGTTTCAGCAAGTACAGACAATACTTAATCTTGCCAGAAATGCAGAGTTCTAATTCATTCAATACCTTTGACACATACAGTCCAAAAGTCATGATTATTTGTTTAGTACATGTCTTCATTAAAGTGCCAGAAAGCATAAACAAAATGCACTAAGACCCATTTCTGGTGCTGTATAAAATTCATTATCTGGTATTCCTTTAGATGACCAATATGTCTAATCTGTTTTTTTTTTCAGATATGTAGGTGTCAGGGTGAGTTTGTGTAGATTTAGTGTTCATTGAAAAAAAAAAAATTGTGTGCCAAAAAATTTTCATAGTCATTATACCACTTATCTAGACCAATTCATTTATTTACCTGGCCTTGAAGCTCTTGTATGGTTCTGAAGAAGCAGCTGTAGTCAGGTAAAGTACTGGGCTGATTCCTTTCATACCACTCCCGGATATCCCTCTCAAGCTGGGCATTCTGTTGCTCCAGGGAGCGGACTTTGTCCAAGTAGGAAGCCAAGCGATCATTCAGATGCTGCATGGTTTCCTTCTCATTGACATTGAACAAAGCATGATGGCTAATATGGCTTCCATGGTTGCTGCTGTGAGCACTTCCATGAGCATGCTTAGATATGGAGATTCCTTTGCCTCCTGATCCTCCATGTACACTGGGTGCTCTACAGTGATTGCTATGATGAATTTTATGGGAAATTTCATGGTGTTTGGCATGGGAGCCTCTATGATGAGAACTATGAGAACCTGTAGAATGGAATCTGTGAGATCCTCCATGGTGAGAAGTATGGGAACCTCCATGATGTAAAGCATGGGATCCTCCATGATGAGAAACATGAGATCCTCCATGATGAGAAGCATGAGATCCCCCATGGCAGTGAGAAGAGTGGGATCCTCCATGATGGCCAGCTGAAGATCCTCCATGATGAGCACCGTATGTGTGGCTTGAGATCTTAGACAGATGACTACCAACATGGCAGCTTCCATGGTATGATCCAGCAGAGGAATGACCACTGTAACTCATGATGATGGATATGAGTGATGCAGATGACCTAAAATTGTGTTTTTCTAAGTGGATGTCCTTCACAATATGTTCTCCATCCATTCAGCTCCTTTATATACGGAAGACTGGGAGTGCCACAGAACATTAATTGCTAATATTAATGTTTACAAGTATCTGACTGCTCATCTATCCACTGCTTTACATGTTTGACATGAGGATTTAACATTAAACATTTGGTAATCTGTTTGGAAAACATTAGACAATTGTAAAACAACTTCAAAATAATTAATTTATTGCTGTCCAGCTCATTAGAAACTTTTGCTCACTCCACCCAAAAGATATAACTATAAAGGAAAAGCTGACTGACTTGGCTGAACACACCTCAAATAAAACATTCAAAAATGCAATATTGTAGTCATAAACTAATAAAAACATTTTAATCACTATGCATCTAGTCTATAGTTGGACACAAAGCATCACATTTCTTTTGAATTTAATCTATCAGGTCTGCAAACTATAACTGCAAGGATAAATTGTGAGGTACTACCCAAGCAATGTATACAGCATATCCATTTAGGTAGCGTGTGCACTTCATACGATAAAAACACAAGGTTTCAGAATATTTCTTACTGTATTATCTTACTTGAGGACCTGTGTTTTTGGTTAGGCCCAAAAGAACCTATCTGATAAATTTTACCCAGTGTCATTAGTAAAGTTGGGGATATTGGCTCTAAATCATCAAGCTGCATTAAAGATATGGTAAATAGCACTAAGACTGCTAAGAGATGCATCATAATATTGACTGACAGGCCTCTTTCGCATGCCTTTAAGCTATTGAGTCAAAATGGTTCACATCCGAAGCTTTGGTTTCAGAAGTACTCTTTAAAAACAATGGCCAATAAAGCTAAATCAAGAAAGTGGTAGCAAGCAAATATGCAGAAGCAAAATTGCAGACATGGTAGGAGTTTGAAAAGGCCATTTTCAAGAACTTGAGGCTCAGAGGGAGTTTTAACAAAGTGATCAGCAAATAAGCGGAGGAAAGAAAACTCACTTACAGGTTGTGCTGAGCTAGAAAGGGGAATTGTTAAACAGCTGAGCAGCAAAAAAAGTATGTTTAAGATTTTTTTAAATGTGCTTAGTATTCTTAGTGTTCTTGTAGTGTGCTGCCAATGTAAAGTAGGTAAATCTATTCTGTATAACTCATGGTAATGGTGTGAGTCTGTGATTAAGGATGGGTTACTGCAGGTTGAGCTGGATGGCTTAACAGGTTGGGACTCTATCTCCTCCCTGGTTCTGGGGGACCATGAAACCTTCCAGAAGTCAGTGGGTGGAAGAGGTGGAGACCTAATCTGCATGTTTATGGGAGTCTCACCAATTTCAGGATTGAAGGACCTGGTAGAGTGGTGAGACCAACCCATAAATATGGGATAGTCAAGCCGGCAGGGGAGACAGGTGGAAGATGAAGTGTTGAGGAAACTGTCGGTGGCCTGGGAGGAGTCCCCTAGGTCTAGGAGGGCTGGCCTCCAGGCTGGGCTCAGGCTGGTTCAAGAGAATCCTTTCAGCATCATGACCTAAAGAGGATCAAGGCCTGGGGGGATCAAGGGGAGAGACTGCTACATGTAGCAAGCTTTCAAAGGACAGCGCTGTGCTTAACCCTTTATCCTTGCCCTGGGAGATTTTCAGAGCCAGGAGGGCTGGTAGTGTCTGCAGGCTGTGGAGCTGGAAGCAGTTATACAGGGGAGAGGAGACATCTCTGCATGTAGTTTGCAACAGGCTAAGCTAACTTTCAGGGGGGCTGCCAGTCCCTAGCCCATAAGGGACAGTTGCTACTGATCCATAATAACTGACCGCTTTCAAGGAGAAGAACAGTCCAGGATCTGTTTCTGTAAATAGGAAGGAAGTTGTCCCCTTGCATTGATTCAGTTATGCTGGGCATCCCATAATCCCTATTATCCTGTAAGTTACATCTCCTAATAAAATAACAAAAACCAAGCTCATGGACTGTTCACTGACTGTGGATGCAAGTGTGGAAAATGTGTATTGCCTGGCTGTGCCAAACACAGCTGTACTCAAGAGGGTAGTGCTACATTCTTGTTTTTTGTAGAAGGCTATGCTGATGTAGCACTACCCCTTAAGAGCCGTTGGATTTGGGTCTCCCTTGTTTTCTGCACAGCTGGGCAACACGCATTTTTCCAACTTCCATTCAGAGTCAGTAACTAGTCTATGGGCTTGTTTTGTTGTTTTATTTGGGGGTAAACAACTTGGATAAGATCTAGGGGTATATGGGATGCCCAACTTAACTTAAAACAGCAACTCTGAGGACAAACGTCCTCCATATTCTGTACAAAAAAAAATGGATCCTAATCTCTAATACCTCCGGAGTGGCATCAGTCTCCTAACAGATCAGTTACCATGTCTCTAAGTCCCCTTGAATGAATATCTTCAGACCCCAGCTGGGAACTACCCACCCACCTGGCTGCCTTGAAGTGTATCCCGGAGCAAGGGAATCCAAGAACAGTCCTTAGCACAGTGCCAGCAGCCCACTCACTTGTAGGCCCTGCGGTTGTAGAGGTACTCACACTGTTCCTTGTGTCCTGCTGCTATGGATAGAACTGCTTTCAGACTTTTCGCTGAGCTATTTTTTCTCCAGGATAGGCAGGCTCTGCTTCCTCAATGGATTGCAGAGCAGTGGAGCTTCCTCTGTCAACTTTATTCTCCCATTCTTCCAACCTTTAGCCTGGAGGCAGAACTCCCCTTCCAGGGGTCCCCTCCCAGGCTACACAGCAGCACATCCTAGCACTCTATCATCTAGCCAACTCCCCTGCTGCCCAGGCTCTCTCACATTTATGGGCTGATTAGGCTACCTTTCCAGGCCTTCGTCCTGGGGATTGGCCAGATCCCCATAAATATGCAGATCAGAACCTTCTCTCCCTCACCCACAAGCTACTAGAAACTTCTCCAAGCTTCTAGAACCAGGGGGAGGTACCAGAGGCCTAGCCTGTAGAGCCATCCAGCCTGATTTAAAATAAACTCACTGACTCACATCCAGGCTTCTAACAAGCCTCTATCTACACTTCAAACTATGTACACCAGATGGCACTACACTGAAAATCAAAGTAAATTCTTACTGGTGGGTCTACTACAGGGGATCTATTTTACTGCTTTTCTTTGCACAAAAAGATACTTGGTTCTGTAGTCTCTAAAAGTGTTGAGGGGTTGGTAGGGGAAGAGACGAGGGGTGACTTGGAAGGGAGGAGTACCTGCACCTATTCTCTGAGAAAAAAGCCCTGCCCATGCATGGCCAACTGACACCAGGAACCGTGGCAGGCCTACAGCATTCTGCCAGTATTACATCTCTGAACTGACCTAGAATACTTTCGCATAGCCTTGGAAACACTGAAGTCCAAGGCAAGCAAAACGGACTGAGAACTGACCTTCCCATTCTGTTAATAGTAAATAAAGCAAATGCATTATTTAATTGAGAGGATTTTGGAGACACCTACTACTACAATGAAACCCTTAGCATAAAAATCAGTAATGTATGAAGCCACCAATGCCAACCTTTCAATAGGCATCAAAGCTCAAAGTCTGGTCAATCCTAATGGAAGCACAATGGAATGGAAGCACCTTTTTATCCCAGACATCAGAACTATAACCTGGAACATAAATCTTTTTGCACTGCCCGAGGGCCCGGGCCGGTCAGTAGGGGGCCCCATGAGATGCCCCTGGTACCTTTTTCATAGGCTTTTTTGAGTTTGGGCAAGGACATAGGGGCCCATGATCCCCTCTTGCCCGGGGGCCCCATGCATTGTCTGTTTGCCCCTGGCGTTATTCACCCTGAGGTCATCACAGAGGACAAGGGGGCACTCTTTACGTCTGGAGGAAAATAAATTTAATCTCCAAATACGGAAAGGTTTCTTCACAGTGAGAGCTGTGAAAATGAGGAATAGACTCCCTCAAGAGTTGGTTCTGGCCAGCTCAGTGGATTGCTTTAAAAAAGTCCTGGATTATTTCTTGGATACACAGACTATAACTGGATACTAACATTTATAGGTAAAGTTGATCCAGGGAATATCCGATTGCCTCTTGAGGGATCAGGAAGGAATTTTTTCCCTGCAGGAGCAAATTGGATCATGCTTTGCTGGGTTTTTTTTTGCCTTCCTATGGATCAACTGTGGGTATAGGATTTTTTTTTTTTTTTTTTAATGGTTGAACTGGATTGACTTTTGTCTTTTTTCAGCCAGACTAACTATGTAACTAAGCCAGTTGGCATTGACAACAGTGTACATAACTGCCCAGAAAGTGGTGATAAATGGCATATATTCAGAGTGGTCTGGAGTTGTGAGCAGAATGCCCCAAGGCTTCTGTTTAACCTGTTCATAAGTGATATAGAGGTTGGTATAAATAGTTTGGTCTCTGTGTTTGCTGGTGATTGGGCAGCACAGTGGCTAAATGGTTAGCACTTCTGCCTGGCAGTACTAGGGTTGTTGGTTTGAATCCCAGCCACAGCACCACCTGCCTGGAGT